CCGTCATCACACCACCACCGTTGCCACACTACCACTGTCTCCATGACAGCCACCCACCCACCACCACTGCCATTGTTGTTCTACCACTACCACTATTCACCAATCACCTCCACCATCATCGATCTATACTTCACTATCACCGTTGTCAATCTATACTCCATCGTCGACGATCTACACACCGATACTCTTTTTCGTTACAGTCAACGTCACACACTTCTCACCATCACGTTCTTCATTTTGTTGCTATTACTAGTGATTTTCAAATCTGGCCATTTTCAATTTAGATCTTTATCGAAAACTTCAGATCTATCCATTTTTGAACACCGATCTAGCCATGACATGGTCGTCGAAGCTCTTACCAATGAGATTGGATCTCTCTCTCTCTCTCTCTCTTTCTCTCTCTCTCTTTGTGTGTATGTATACTCATATTGATGGATCTTTACCAATTTGTTTGTAAAAATCTAGTTAAACCAGATCTATTGTTTGTAAAATCTGAATATTAATAAATAAATTTACACTGATAAATTTATAAGTCTTACTTTTTTTTAAAGTGTATTAATGTGTTTTTGTGAATGAATAAGCGAGTGTATGTATGTGAGTGTGAGTGAAAGAGTGAGGTGGAGTAATTGATTAAGTAGTCTAGAAAAAATTGATGAGTGTTTTTAGTGATAAATTTATCACCGGTATATCACTGATATTTATTAGAGGGACTTACGTGTAAGTCCTAATATGTGAATTTATTATCCAGTAGGTCATGTGAGAATTAATGTCGTTTTTTATCAAAGACTATTAAAAAACCTCACTAGTTCTTAATTTTCAGCGACAGTTTGAAAATTTTGTCGCAAAAAATATCACTAACTATAAGTTTTAGTGACAATTTAAAAAAATCGTTACAAAAAATGTCACTAATTTTCAACATTTAGTAACAGTTTGAAAATTTGTTACAGAAAAACGTCACTAATTTTAAGTTTTAGCAACAATTTATAAAAATCAAAATAAAAAAGTTACCAATTGTTAATTTTTAATGACATATACAAAAAATTATCATAAAAAATTGTTTTTAAAAACGATTTTACTCGAACCTATTTTCAATAGGACTTATTAGTAGTTTATCCTATTTATTATCTTTCTTTGGCTCCTCCATTTCTTTTATCACCACCAAATCTAAAGCTGTGGTGGGAGTAGTGACATAATGGAGAATGATGTTGTTTTGGTTGAAAAAATAGTTAAATATTTGTTAAAATTATTGCCAGAGGTTAGAGATGGCAACTGAAGATTCGTCAACTGTCAGAGACGATGATCGGAAATGGTTGTCGTCGGTCAGACATGGTTGCTGGAGAAATGGACTCATTATAATATTGATAATTGGGGATGAAGAATAACACGACATTTTGGGTATATGAACAGGCAAAAAAAGAAGTAAGATTTATAGGTAAATAAATCTATTCAATATAACCAGTACATAAGTCTCCCAATAAAAAATAAATAAAAGGAAAGGAATTTTGGTGGGCCTTCGGGCCATTGGTCATGCATTGGGTTCATTAGCTTGGCTTGGGCTACAAGCGACACAGCCCAATTCCAATATTAGCTTATATCCCGTTAGGTAGAGCTGTGAGAAAGTAATTTAGTTTATACCTTAACAACTTATAGCTTATAACTGTGAACATAACCTGATTTTTGACTTATAAATTAAGCTTCTCCTCCCCCACTTAACGAATAAGTTGATTTTTGACTTACAAAAAACTATAAGCTGTATTGTTAAGCTGAACCAAACACATTAAAATAGCTTAAATTAAGTTAAAAGCTGAAATAAGCTGGAAATAACTCCTACCAAACAGGGCCTATAACTTATAGCCTAACAACTTATAACTTATAGCCGTGAACATAAGCTGATTTTTGACTTATAAATTAAGCTTCTCCTCCCTCACTCAAAGAATAAGTTGATTTTTGACTTACAAAAAGCTATAAGGTGTATTGTTAAGTTGAACCAAACATATCAAAATAGCTTAAATTAAGCTAAAAGCTGAAATAAATTAGATATAAACCCTACCAAACAGGGCCAATATAATATAAGCTAATACGATAGCTAACTTTCTTTTGATAATTTCTTAACCTCACTACAACAATAACCAGTAACCAAATATGATAAGGACTCTTAACAAACACTAATTTAAATCAATAATATTAGGGATAAAAACTCAGACCATTAAATCTCAAAATACAAGTGTTGAATTTGACCATTTTTTGTTCCAAAAAAAAAAAAAAAATTGAATCATTTTATTTATTTTGAATTTTTTATTTGAGTTTTTACTTAAATTGTTACTCCGTAACATTATTAAATTTAAATTATAACTTACATGTAATAAGCATTGTTCTATATTATAGCATGTGCCCAAAACCATGTTATTTTGTGTAATTAACATTTAAAATCCGAGATATTAAAATTGTTCATTCTGTTTGATTTTGAGTTTTTAAAAATAGTTGTTGAATTTTAATTTGTATTTTTTTTATTTTGTAAACTTTATAATTTCTTTTTTTTTTACATTTTAGATTCACTAAATTTAGATATACTTAAAAATATGTAATTTATGATTTTTTTTAAAAAAAACAAATCATCAAATACTAAACAATTTTGAATATATTTTCATTTTTTTTTTATTTATTGAATTAAAAAAATCACAAATGTTTTAATTTTTAAGTTCATCTGTGTATTTTTTTTAAAATAGAAAATTAGTGAAAGATCCTTACAAATTTTGAATAATAGGAGAGATTCATATATTTTTTTTATTAGCTAAGATCCTTACTACTAACTCAACAAACTCTCTCTCCTATTTTCAACTCTCTCTATCTTCACCTATTGAATAATCGACCCTCCCTACCTCTACACCATTGTAGTGTCATACAACTGTCACTAGTTATCAGTCCGACGACCACCCCTTACCATTGATCTCCCTTCAATGGTTGCTTAGGCCTTAGATAGCACTTTTATGAACATCTAAAACCCTAGAAGTAGATTTATATACTCTAGAAGCTAAGATTGCAGGTCGAGGAACAAGAGAGCCAAAAGTATAGAAACTCAAAACTTTTTAGAGAGATAAAGAAAGAGAAACAAGAGAATTGCAAATCAGAGAGTACTTAGGATAGCTCCAGAGTCTTGCCTTTCCTTTGTTTGTGAATATCACTAGACAAGCTAATCAAAAATAGCACCAAGGATCCTCTAGAGTGAAATTTTCCTAAAATTTCCTAGAGTGCTACATTGTGTGGTTGAGATTTACTGGCAAGTCACATCAGAAAAATTGATGTGACTTGCCAGTAAATCTCAACCACACAATGTAGCACTCTAAGAAACTTTAGAGAAAAATCACTCTAGAGGATCCTTGCTCCAAAAATAGTGCTCTGTTTTGGAAGCAAACCAAAATAGTGCTCTGTTATGGGTTATTGTGAACAAATGCAAGGTTGTACTTAAGAAGTTTAATTTTTTTTGCTAAATTGAAGCAAGTTTGTTTTTTCTGTTTTTTAATTTTTAATTTTCTTTATATTAGATGTATAAATTGGAAAATTAATTAGAATTGTGTTCAAATATGATTTTCTCTGTAATTTTCTCTATGTTTTTGTAAAATAGTTAGCAATTCTTTGTGATTTTCTCTGTGTTTATATACTTATGAGTTTGTAATTTTTTTTGAACTTTTTATTTGTAATTTGTAATTTTCTCTGGATATGCAAGTCTGTGATGGCCAAAGAAGATCAACATGGTAGAGAAATTTTAGAGAAAATTAAATGTGCCAAAGAAATTGACATGCAAGTAAATTTATCTGACTATATCTACAAAGAAATTTCAAAGAAAATCAAATGTGCTAGAGAAATCAATATGCAAGTAAATTTCTTTGATTACATTTGTAAAGAATGTAAATCTCTCTAACTACATTTGTAAAAAAAAATTATATGTAATTCAGATTGCAAGTATGTGATGGCTAAAGAAAATCAACATGATGACAGAAAAATTTTAGAGAAAATCAACATGATGACAGAGAAATTTCAGAGAAAATCAAATATGCTAGAGAAATCAATATGCATGTGTGTAATTTGTCCAGCAAAAATTAAATGCACAAGAGTAAATTTCTCTGACTACATTTGCAAAGAAATTTTATAGGCAAGTCAGAGAAATTTCAAAATTTCTTTAAGAAAATTGAAATTTCTCTATATCAGGGTCAAAATTTCTTTAAGTCGAAGCAAAATTTCTCTGAATAGAATTTTATTTGTGAAAATATTGAAGGATCCCAACTATTATGAAAATATTATATGTCTTTTATCTTATAAAATTTTAATAACAGAAACCTTATAAAAAAATTTCTCAAAAAAATTGATTAAATTATTTTAAATTTTAACTAAAAATAAAAATATATATAAATTCAAAAATTCAAAATTATATCGACAACAACAGTGTGAAAAGTGACACATTAATGACAGTCTTGTCTTTTTTTTCGATCAGCAATACTATATCTCACTAAAAGTGGTGCTCGAAAGCACCAAATTAACATCCACTTTTTTTTTAAAAAAAAAAACAAGGCACAAAAATATTATGGCAGTGGGTCCCATCCATTACCACATCATTAGTAATTAGTAATAGCACTAATTAGTGCTCCCACCCATTTTCCGTTTTTTGGATCCTGTAATTCGATTTTTTCTACTAATAATCTTTCAACATTTTCAAAAATGGTGAATTTGACATTGGCCGTGGAAGTTCTTTAGCATACCTCAAAGGGCCGCGACACCATTTAGGGGTCCATTCCCGTGCTCTCTCTCTCTCTCTCTCTCTCTCTCTCTCTCTATTGCTTGTTTGTTGCCCAATACAATCCAAAAGAGCTGTGTTTAGACAAGTCTTGTTCACAGAAAATGAAATCAAATCACTACCACTCATATCTCACCACCTCCTCTCTCTACCCCTCATGTCCCAATCACCATTATCCCTAACTCTAATCCCTCTCTTTTGTCTCTTCTTCTTCTTCTTCTCCTATATTTCCGTTTCCTTTCCCTTTTTATCTTTCTCTCTAAATCTCCGCTAATTTTAGCGGAGGTCCTCTTGCTCTGGTTTTTTGACTAAAACCCAAATACCTCTTTTATGAAAACCAAAAATCATCCCTTTTTCAGTTTATGGCTTTGTTTGGGGCTTTCTTGGAGATTCTTGAAAAACCCACAATTGGTGGGGGTGTGTTTGTAGATATGATGATGTTTCTTGTTCCTTTGTGGATTGCTTTTCTTGTTGGGATTATGGTGGGTTGGGTTTGGAAACCCAGATGGGCAATCTTAGGTTACAATGGTAAATTCAATTGTTCGCCGTTTTCGTCGTCTCTAGCTGCTGTTATTCCTTCCCCAGTTAAGGGTTTTAGGTCTTGTCCAATGGAAGATGGGGTGGATAAGGAACAAGTTCCTGTGCCATTCACTGAAGACACCAATTGCAGGTTATATGTTCATATGAATTTGTGTCAATTTTATTTACTGGAAAATGCTAATGAACCGTCTAATTAGCCTCAATGTATGTCTTGAAAAGTGTATAGAAATGTGTGAAAATTTTATATAAATATGTGGAAGCGTTTGAGATTATGTGATTACCATTGGCATGACCATTTTGTAATTAGGAACTAATTGCTTGATTAATAGTATCTAAGAGAGACAAAGAGAATATCATATTATGTGTCTTACAATACAATGAAGAAGCCTATATATAGGCAAGGTAAGAGTGGGTAAGAAGAAAGTTATGGAAATATCCTGATATGGTAAAACCTGATTACAACATTTAATATATATAGTGAATATATTATATATATATATATATATATATACCATTTTCACTAATAGCTTCCCTCAAACTCAAGGTGGTGGCAAAAAGACCAACTGGAGTTTGGAAAGAGAAGCTAGAGAAAATAAAATAAAATAAAATAGAAATAATAATGCTGGAAGACAGGTTATGGTCGTGCCGGACCGTTGTAAGGGCTAATGTTGGAAAATAATTTATGGTTGTGTCGGACTGTTGTAGAAGAAGAACGTGTGATGAACCAACAAATGTGGCATACACGTAACTTATGATATGGTGTTAAATAGTGATGGCAACATATGAAGAAGTGCACTAGGGGGCAGCTTGGAGGGAATCATGTGCTCTGGTGGGGGGGGGAGGGCTGGGAAAGGAACCATGTGTGTCAGGAGGTGGTTTGGAAAGGAACAAAATGCACCAAGGGGGCGGCTTAGGGAGTGCGCCAAGGGGCAACTTAGGTGGTGTGCCAAGGGACAGCTTAAGGAGTGCGCCAACAGGCGACTTAGGTGGTGTGCCAAGGGGCAGCTTAGATGGTGCGCCAGGAGGTGGCTTGGATGGTGTGCTAATATAGTTCCATGATGGCCTTACAGAACATCTATCTATACATATGGCAGCTGCTGTCCATCCATTTTGGGTTAATTTCATTTCTTCCTAAAGTATTAATTTCATATATTTAGTTCCTAAAATTTTTGTTGGTAATTTTATAATTTGGAGAACTTAAATTATACTACCAAGCACCCATTAAATTGGTTGTGGGGTGTAGTTTGTTCAAAGTAGTAAGAAAAATGAGTGTTTGGTTGTATGATTTAAGTTGTTCAAGTTTTGAAATGGGTTTTTTTTTATTAAATTCGGTTTCAACGGTTAGTGATTTGTATAATCGTCATTGGACTACATTAAACTAATCGATGAAAATTAATAGCTTAGGGATGAAATATTTAAAAACAAAGGGTTTATTACACTTGTTACCCCTAAACTACTGTCAAATTATCTGTTTAGTCTGTAAACTATTGATTAAATCTACTCAATCCCGAAAGTATATAAATCAAAGTCTATTTAGTTCCTAACCTATCGATTGAAACTATTAAGTCCCTAAAACATTTATTTCAAACATATTTAGTCCATTAAAATATTACAAAAATAAAATATATGCCCATAAGTATTATAAATTAGTAAAAGATCCTATCTAATTAAGATTTTATTACAGAAAAATCTTTAATTTTTTTCTTTAAAAAGTGTTTTATTTTGTTGGGTGTTTAAATTAGTATTATAGTATGATTTCTTAGTTTTGCCTGTAAATTATATGAGCATTAGATATATTGAAGAAATATAATTAGATAATTTAAATAATAACACTTCGCTACAAATAACAATAGAATAAAATAATACATTAATTAAGTTATAAAAAGAATTTAGCAAAAAAACTTACACAATCAATTAAAAATTATTAACGAAATTTGACATATAATACTAATAAAAGCAAGCACATAGTCATTGTAAAAGATAAGTAAGAAAATATTATAAATAATTACCTTCGCCCTTATAAAGGAAATTCACTATAAGAGCTTATGCTCACTTTTCAAAGACAAAATAAAATTTTGAAGGTTTTTTTTTTTTTTTAACTAGATAGGGCTTGTAACTAATTTATAATACTTATGGGGTTATATTTTATTTTATAATCCTTTTAGAGACTTCTTAGTTTTGAATTAAATATTTTAGGGACTTTGTAGATTCAATCGATAATTTAAAGACTAGATAAACTTTGATTATATACTTTAGGGACTGTGTAGACTCAATCGATAATCCAGAGACTAAATAGACAATTTGACGATAGTTTAGGAGCACAAAATGTAATAAACCCAAAAAAATAGTGATAGTTCAGGGGATAAAAGTAAAATTAGTCCATCCATTATCTATGCACATAATTTTTTCTCTCATATTTCCATAAGCAAGCCTTTTGGTACCGAAACAGAAGGATATAAAATAAAGTTCAAAACCGGCCCAACGGAATCACCCCTTGTGGAGGGTACAACACATGCCTAGCCTACATAAACATGACTTATTCAAAACCTAAAGGAAGAAAATGAAAATTTAAGGAATTCTGCAACCAACTTCTGACTGTGCATTGTTACTTGTCCAGTTCATCGCAGCTCAAGAAAGGAGAGAGTAGTGTTGTGACAGAGGAGGATTTAGGACATTTATGCCATCTCATCGATAGGAAAGATGGTGGTCCCCCTTGGAAACATATAATGGATTGTTCTGGCGCTGGTATGAGCTACCAAGCATGGCAAAGGGATCCAGAGGTGTGACTTTCCCTATTTGTTATAGTAGTTAATTATAATTACTTAACCAATTAGTCGTATTTAGAGGTAACCCTTGGAAACATTTCTATTGTAGAAATATCTAATTCTGTCTTTATCCTATTTCTTTTGATTGTGGTTTGTTAGACGGGTCCTCCTCAATATTGCAGCAGAACTGTCTATGAGGATGCCACGCCTGAATTATTAAGAGACTTCTTCTGGGATGATGAGTTTCGATTGAAGTGGGATGACATGCTTGTACACTCTACTACGATAGAAGAATGCCCCATCACAGGAACCATGGTAGTGCATTGGATCCGAAAGGTGATTAAATTTAATTTTAGTTGTCATTACTTGCGTGAAGTGTTTTGGTTGCAAATACTTATCTCTCCTGGTGCTCTTTGGTACAGTTTCCCTTTTTCTGTAGTGACAGAGAGTATATCATAGGCCGTCGAATATGGGAATCAGGACGGTCATATTACTGCGTGACAAAGGTATGTGACAGGAGATACTTTTGACACTTTCAACATCTAACAACAATATTGCACTTATTAGGTAGGAATATGTTACATGGACATGGGTACAAGTATCAGGTGTTGATGTGTATCAAAACATCGGACCTTCATAAATCTAAATCTTAGCAATACTAGGATATGTATCTAAAAGTTGGATGTGGGTAAATGTGAGTTTCTTTCTTTCTGTGCAAACATCGAAAAAAAAAATATGGAGGATCCAACTATCTAATTTGGTTACAAGTGTCGGACACATATCCCATGCCCCCTTGTCATATCTGGTGGACACATGGGTACTTTCGGGAAAATATAAGAGTCCATGTAACAGGAATATAAGTACTTTATGTCATTGAATGCTTGTGTTGAGTAAGACTTATAGACAGACGAAGTGGTTGACGCAAACAGCCATGTTTGTTTAGGGATTTAGAGAGGGCGGATTGGACTAGTATTTTGTTTGGAAAAAATGCCATGAGATTGATAGTCCCATGGCACTATGAATACCCTCCAAAGAGGGGATTAGCAATCCCATGGGGGAGGGGGTATTTGTAATCTAATCCCATGGGATTGTGGGTGAAAATACTACTTTGCCCTACAGTTTACAAAAACAAGTAGTCACATTTTATATAATGAGTGTATTTATGTAATTTCATGGATTTAATCCCAACCAAAGACTATTTATCTTACAACTTCAACCCAATACTACCGCACTGATAATCCTCTCACTCAATTCAATCGTACTCATAATCTCACCCAACCTAGTCCGGCAAACAAACATGCGGCCTTACATGATTGATGCAGTGCAATCAACAGGTTTGAATATATTTAAAGGAAATAGGCAACAAAGTTTCTGGATAGACGAGTCAAGCTTATAAAAGTTTAAGACACTAAAAAAGGGAAGGGGAAAGGTTCAAGTGGTCATGCATGTATTAAGCTAGTATGGAGGGATTTAAGTAATTATAATTGAAGAACTAACAAACAATCTTGGAGAGTCATTGACTCATTTTACCTTCAAGAAACAGTTGGTATAAATTTCTGTGAACGATACAAAAGACAATGTCGATGTCAAATGGAGATTTTTGCCATATGCTTTTTGTTTTTCCTTATTGTTCCCAAGCTTTTCCCTGTTCTAGTTTATAATCTTTCACTGATCCAACTTGACTGTCCATTTATTTTCTCTATCAGGGAGTGCCCTGCCTTTCTGTTCCTAGGCGTGAGAAACCGAGACGTGTTGACCTTTACTATTCAAGTTGGTGCATTCAAGCAGGTAAATTATTTTTGTTTCTCCTTCTCTGTCAACTCTTCCTTTTTTACCTACAGCTTTCTTTTAAATTTGTTAAGGGAATCTCGTAAAAAGAAATGGTTTCTTTAACATAAAGGGAACAATTCTATAGAGATTAATGGTGTTAGGAATTGATACACCTAATTAGGATTGGTGAGATACGAAACACAAACAGGAATAATAACAAGAAATGAAATCAAGAACACAAGGATTTACGTGATTCCCTCCAAACTAGGGCTACATCTATGAATGCTGCAGTTTTTTTTACTATGATCAGAAAGAATAAGATATAGAGATCATCTTTCTCTCAACTAAAAATGCATAGAAATTAGGGCAACAAGTCACGAGTGCGGGAATACCAAAATACCCTCGGACTTCCTTATGTTGAATTGATAGACACAAAATTTTGCTAGGAAGACAACAAATGATGGCACCTACCTCTACTTCAGTATGCTATGGAGTCCTGGGCTTCATTATGTTGAATTTTATGAACTTAAATGTTTTTTTGTATTTATGAAACAGTGGCATCGAAGAAAGGGAATGGCCAGCTGACTGACTGTGAGGTGATACTTTTTCATCATGAGGATATGGGCATCCCATGGGAAATCGCTAAATTTGGAGTAAGGCAGGGGATGTGGGGAGCTGTCAAGAAAATTGAGCGCGGTTTCCGTGCTTACCAGAAGGAAAGAGCATCTGGAGCACCACTCTCGCGGTCTGCATTTTTAGCTCAGGTCAACACAAAAATTAATCCAGTTTACTTGAAATCCTTGGAAAGCGCTGAAGATTCACCAGAGACTGAAGTGCAGGGTTCGCCCGAGAAGCGAGGAGGTCTGAACATACCGAAGTTCTTAGTTTTTGGTGGGGCTGTTGTCCTTGCTTGTAGTCTTGACCGTGGCCTCCTGACTAAGGCCGTTATTTTTGGTGTCGCCAGAAGGTTTCCAAACATTGGAAGGAGATTATAGTTCTGCGAGATGGGGCTGGAACCAGGTCCAAGGATTTAATTAATGACTCATTTTTATTTTTTTCCCTACTCATTCTGAGCTTTTTGTCACTCTTCTCTCACAGAAGTTGAGAGTCTGCACTTCTTTCTTTATTTTATTCTTCTTTGAACACGAAAACGGAACCTCTGTAGTTACGTGAAAAACAACATATTGTTGTATTTATTGGAAGAATAAACTTTTGTTTTAGGTTAACATTGCAGCTCAATAACACTCGGTGCTGTGTTTCTTTACTTGTATATATTGGAAGAATATTTCAACTATGGTTTTATATTTTCAGCAATATATAGAGTGAATCACAATACATTGATCCTGGGAGAAAAACAACTTTCCTTTTTTGGTTGCAAATTCTCAGTGGAAACATATCCACTTTGAGGATATCAGCAATGATAAACAATGGGGGTGTTTGTTTCAGCTTTTCAAAGCTAACTTATGGTTTTTAGCTTTGAAAAAGTTATTTTAGACTGTTTGGTTAAACTTATTTCAAGCAACTTCTGATTCTAACAGCTTATTTTAACTCAAAAAAGTTGATTCTGAGAAGCTGCTCACCCCTTGTTTCTGATTATCAGCTTCTGCTGTGAACATGTTAATTTATGGTTATACTCTTAAATTTTTTTATTTTTTATTTTTTTTAAAATAGAAAAAGACTCAAATAGACTATAGATTATTATTATTATTTTTTATGAGAAATTTAGTCAAATAAAAAATAAAAATTAATTGAAAAAGCTATTTCACAGCTTATTTAACAAAAACTACTCAACAACTTAAATCTATAATCCAACAGTTACACCAAACAGATTAACAACTTCTGATTAAAGTCATAATCTATAATCTGTTAAGTTATAATCTATAAACTGTTTTAACAGCTACACCAAACGGGGCCATATATATCAAGGGTTGAACAAATTATGAAAATATTACTTTCACATAATTCCGTTAGGTGTGTTGTAATAAAATTCTAATGGTTTAGTATTATTTTTCTTAAATAATAGTCAAGAAAATATTTATTTTTTTGTTTCCCTTTAACATGACTCATCAGACTGGCATTTGCAAGAAACAATTACATGTATTGTTCATTCTTCAGTATTATAATAATATTTTGAAAAAAATAAAAATAAAAGTATATATATAAGAATGAAATTGCACAATAATACCTTACAAATTTTGCATCTTTCATGAAAGAAAGGTTGTGTCCTATCCTATCGTAAAAAAGTCATTAGTATGCAGCCATGGCAGTACTGGGAGATTCATAGCTAACCAACCAAGGTTTCAAAAGAGTGTAAACCATCGAACTGTGGAGCTAACTTTGGCATTTGATTGCTCTTCTTCACTTCTTCCTTCATTTTGGCCATTAAACTCACCACAGGTGTCCGCAATCGCCCACCACCACCACCAAGTTCCTATATGTATATTGGAACCTTTAGTTACCAGAATAAAAGGAAAATTTAAAATTTTACAATAAAGATAATATAAAATTTTTGAAAATATTGGAAGAGACTAGAGAATAGAGATGGAAAAGGAAGAGGATGCAACGAGATTTACATACCTTGTTATTGGGTTGAATTCTATCAAAGAAATAAACCCCAAGTGCAGCAGCAACAGCGGGCGCTGCGAATATGATTTGAGTTGCACCCATTATTGCCATTACTACTGATATATCAAGATATATCAGAGCACAGCTTAATTCTTTCTTATGATGATGATGATGATGGTGATCTTTTAGCAAAGCCAAGGTGCAAATTTAGCCTCTTATATGTGGATATTTTTTAGATGTATGTATGAGAGAAAGAAAAGAAAGATACTGAAGCAAAGGAATATGGGATGCCTTGGAGGTGAAGAGAAGTAAAGAATGAATGATAATACGAAAAGAAGTAAAGTAAAGTAAAAATAAATAAATAAATAAATTGCAATTGAAAAGTAGTAAATCCAAATAGGACCAAAATGGATTTATTGGGGTTTCCGTACATCTATTTTGAATTATGTTATGCAAACTGAAAAACATATTAAAAAAAAAAAAAAAAGGATTTATGCAGAATGATGTGACAGTATGACATGCCTATTACTTTAAAATAAAAAACTCATTAAGTTAATTATTAATTGTATAAACAACATTACCGTGATCATTCTTGTGATAAATTTTGTGCATTTTACTATTTTATCAAGTTTCGAACTTTAAGCTCTGGAATATTATGTGTCCAAATAGTTTTTATTTTGGCTCACAACTAATTAGGTTTCACTTCCACTAATTTTTGGCTCTATAGTGGTTTTATTATCTCCATCAATCTAGTTATTTTTATTTTTTAGTTAAAATAGTGAATAAATTATTAAATTTAAACTCTATCAAACTAGTTATTAGTTAATTATTAATTGTATAAACAACATTACCGTGATCATTCTTGTGATAAATTTTGTACATTTTACTATTTTATCAAGTTTCGAACTTTAAGCTCTGTAATATTTTGTGTCCAAATAGTTTTTATTTTGGCTCACAACTAATTAGGTTTCACTTCCACTAATTTTTGGCTCTATAGTGGTTTTATTATCTCCATCAATCTAGTTATTTTTATTTTTTAGTTAAAATAGTGAATAAATTATTAAATTTAAACTCTATCAAACTAAGTTATTAAAGTTAGCTTTTGATGGATTTGGCTCAACAAATGTACCTAGTGGTTTGGACTAGTCAAATTTAAAAATATATATATATTATTTTTGATTTTATGGAACTAGTTGTGTAGAGTAAATAAAAATAGTTTTAAAATTAAATATTAATAAAAATAATGTTTACATAGCATGCTAAACCCACAGAGAGTTTATTGAAAAGTGTATTTAAAATGTGTATAATTAAAAGTAAAAAAGTAACTTTTAAACTAAAATATAATAAAATTTTAACTAATTTGATAAAAATGATCTAATGAATATCACAAAGCCCAGCCTTGGGAGTGACTACAAAATTGAGTAGGAAATGGAACTTTTAACTATTGATCAACTTTTTTAGAATTCTTTACTTCCCATGCCTTAATTATAGATTTGATCAATTGAAACAACTCAATTTGAAGCATAGTACTGTTAAATAGTTAGAATTTTTATCTTAAATTATAAGAAAAATTAATGTGTGATTTAAAATTATTTAAAACTAAGTTTTTTTATATAATAATTGAGTCTAAACCACATATAATATTTTTGGATAAAATGACACTTAATTTTACTATTTAAAACAACTCCAGTTAATTCTTTAAGATTAATTCTAAGTGTATAGAATTTGATCACAAAATCATATACAACTCTCTCATATGAGGTAAGACATATTAAATCAAATGTATAAACTTCATTCCAATTAGAGGCGACATATTTGGCTAGATTTAAGAAGAAAATGATGACTTCATTTTGTCCATTTATGATATTGAGGCTTCAAAATCGACTCTTTTTTTTGTAGTGATTTTTAGTTTTTATTTTTTTAGATAGTTAAAAAAGTTAATATACTTGAAAAGTTGCAATGATTATTTATTTTTGTGTGAGTAAAAAAATTTAATGCAATATTTAACGTTATTACTTTATGACAAATAATTTTTTAATATTTTTTATCTTCTAATTAAAAAAATTAATTTTTTTAATAGATCCAAACGAGACCACAATTTGAAAAAAAAAAAGAACAAAGGTAAACCAGGTGGTATGATTTGCACCGTCTAGATGCATCTCTTGTTATTCTTATTCTTTTTGATTTTTCACATAGATGTGATGGATCTCTAATACAACTCGGAGGATACTACTCTCAAGTATCTTTTATGATTGCATAGACATTTCTTGCCTCCGTTTGGGAAGGGAGTTGACTTTTTGGACTATTTTAACTTAGGGCTAAAAAGCTTAGTTTGAAAAGGACTTTTGATTTTTTTTACTTTTTTGTGAGAGAAAGAATGTAATGATTATGGGTTGGATGTGATATTTTGTCTTATTGGGGTAAAAAGCCTATTTTGCTTTTTGTGACTAAAATAGTCAAAAAAGCTCCAACCACGGCTTCCCAAACAAAGCCTAGTGTGGGTGGTACATTTGTCTGCATAGGTAATTAGTGAGATGATACACCTTATTATGTATTTGTAAGCAAAATCAAAGTTAGAGATCACCTCCGACCTAAGTAAGTCGGAAGGATTCTCCAAAAATCAAGTTAGAACTCTTGTCAAACATAATTAGGTTGATGAAAATAATGAAAAGTGTAGTTTTCTAATGGTCTTTTTTATTTTTTGTGTCCCTTTACTTGTTTGCTTGATTTCCTTTTATAGTTAACTGGCATTTTATTGTCGGCCGTCGAATTCCTTTCGATCGGATAGTCAACCTTTTTGTCAAGGGTTATTTTAGTAGTAGCCAACTTACAACTACTATTGATCGTCAGATCTCTGCTGATCGAATGGTTGGCTTCTTGTTAGAGATAGTGACCAAGTTGTATTTGTGGATGATCGTTGGATCTCTACTTGATCGGACGAACATCCTTCTGTCAGAGGTGATTTCAGTAGTGACCAACTTGTGTTCATCTTTGGCCGTTGGATCTACTTTGATCAAATGGTCATTCTTTTGTCAGGGGTCAGTCTCTACCTCAAGTTTGATTTTGTTTGATACGCTCGATTAGGTTGGTTAACTCCCATTGTTTTGGACTTTATTTGTTTGGACTTACTTGGCTTATTTGGGCCAATATTTCCATTGGGCTAGAATTGAATTTTTGCCCTCTACTCTTCAAGTATAAATATCGCCTTAACTTTATTCCATCTTTTAATTTTAAGGTAAATTACACTGGTTTTCCTTGAGATTTTATAAAAATATAATAAGTTTTGCAGTTTTGACGAATGCGGGTGGTATGAAATTAGAAAGATAAATAAGATGTTTGTGTCTAGTGATATAAAATTTGTTTATGTATAATATTTTACTTTTTTGTTGTTTGTGAATGAAATTACTGATAAGTCCTACCTAATATACTTATTTCTCATTAAGTTTCATAAAATCTCATTGTATGAAATGTTTAGAAGTATAAGTCCTTTTTTATTTTATTTATTTTATTTTTAACTTTCAATATACTTTTCAACCCTTTTACTTCTTTCTACCCTTGTACAATAGTGGTGGTCGTAGGGATAAGGGTTGGTAGAGCAATGAGGGTAAAAGGTTGCAATGGAAATTGGAGCGATGATGGGGAATGGGTTCACACTAGTGGAGTTGGTGGTTGGTGATGACGGGCGCAAGTGGGAGTGATAGAGGGTGGTGGTTGGGAATGAAAATGGTT